AATTGAACTCTCACAATTATCCAAGTTGCTAGGGTTTTGCAGAGGATGATAATATTATAGTGACGGACATTTTGAACACAATGGGACGGAATCCATGGATTAAACTTATAATTTAGTATTCTCTCCGTTTTGCATCATAAAACATTTTTTTAAAGTCGTATTAAAAATTATAAGACATTTTAGATCTTTAAGATATAATTAATAAATTTTTTTTAAAATAAATACCTTAATTGAAATAATCTATTAATTAGATAAAAGTAAACAGGAAAGATGTGTAATTTTAAATATCATTAACCAACTTATTAAGAGATGTAAATTGGTTAAAAATATTTTAAAATTATCTTATAATACTGAATGAATAAAGTATAATATATTGCACATATAATTCCATTGCCGAGTAGGATTATACATGTTGATTAGGTAATTAGTAAAAGGCAAAGCTTGATCTAATGAGAATGTGATCATGATGGCATGATGTAGGGCAAGGCGTCCTCTGGTAGGGTAGGCTTTAAGGTTTGATTGGACTTAGCTCAATTAGTGAAGGCTAAGACAACTGTTGCGGGCGGGCCTATATTCTCACGGCTTTATTATTAGGTTATGTTCTTAACACATCTTTTGGGCTGCTAGATTAGACCATACAGCCAACCTAGGAGCTACTTCTCCAGCTCTAGGGAATGAAACAAACAAATTGTTTATTTATTTACTAGTTTAATTTGATGATTTTTTGCCATCTTTTTCTCCAGTCATTATACTTTTTGATCGATGATTTGTTTCTAAAAAATTACTTTATTCTTCTTTCATACCACTACACTTGTTAGGCACGACTCTGGCTAAAATTTATAGATCAAACTTGGTTACTATATACATATAATGATGAAGCTAAGCATGTACGTTGAAGGCGTTATGATATGCTAGTTATTTGTCTTTTGACGATTTGTTTGATTGGATCTGCTTGAGAATTTTTCCTTAGCTTGTAAACTTCATTCTCTGATACATATTTCTCTTCTGAAAATTGTTTAGTCATTTGGGGGCCAAACATTCTAAGTTGATAAATTAAATACACCCACTTTTATATATGAGTTTTACTTTTTTACTCATGTTTGTTTCGAAGGGTAGAAGTACTTAGGAAAAAAAAAACCAGAAACATTATTTTTGTTATGCTTAGTGGCATCCACAGTCTTGTGGAAATATTATTTTATAAATTATATGATGATGAATATTTTGTACAATTTTTAATTTTTCTTCTTGATTTTACTTCGTTTTTTTTTCCGAAAAAAAAAATCCTAGACAAGGTCACGAAAGTAATTTAAGAGCATATTAATCAACATCAACATATGTAACAAGTCATATTATTCACATGTAGTTATAACGTTGTAGTTTTTCAGACTTTATGTAATGCATGATGAAACAGCATGCCTAGTAATTTATCATACTTGATCAATTTTTGGATTGTATTTAAATTTTAATCATAATTGAATATTCTTGACTTCACCGTTTTGTCATTTTTTGACCAATCAATAAGTAAGCACGGGAAGAGTTACATAGGCGTGGACAATCATTATTAGAAAACAATCATTTTGCGATGGATTTTGCCTTAGATTTGAGACACTGCAAATTGCTATTCTATGGATTTTAAAAAATTGAAAAGACACTGCAATTTAAAAATAAATAAATAAATTACATGTTTGCAGTGATTGATCTAGGAGTCGATAAATGGGGGCCAAATTTAAAATAAAACATGGAGTAAGGGAACCAAATTTGATTTTAAAATTTCTTACAAGTTGAAGGGTTTTGGGGAGGAGTAAATCAATCCGTACATGTGTGAGGGCTAATGAAGTTAAATTGATAAATTTGGTAAGAATAATACAACTGACATCTCATAAATTACAATATACATTGTACTTTTTTTTGGGTATAAACTATCCAATATTTTAGAATATTATGAGTTCATTGCTCGTCCTAGATTAATCCAAACCCCCTGCAAGGAAACCTTACATTGGTACTGAGGTATTGACAAGACAACCTCTTTGAGGCTGCATTAATTATCATGTCTGTTATTCCTTAGAATTCAAACACACACCCTAGGAAATGCCAGCCATGGTCATTTCGAACTCGATCGAGTGCCCATTGGTTTATACATTGTACTCTTCATTATTTATCTAAATGACCCTGAGGGGTTGGGTCTATGGTTGTTTGTGCTTTTCATGAGGCTCTAAGGGGTCACGCGCAAGCGCCCACACACACTTAATACAACTCTATCCTATAATTCTCTAACTCAATAAGTTACAAAGATTGTGTTGAGTCAAAATTTAGGAATTAAGTTGATAATTGAAAGAAAATTTAGAGATTAAAAATTATATTATCCAATATAAAAAATTATTTATTGAAAAAACTACTCCCTCTATCCCTTTATAAAACATTTTTGGAGTTGATTTGATGTCACAAAATATAAGATGTTTTAACAAACAAAAAAAAGGTTTCATTGATGTTCATTATTACAATATATAGTGCTTAAATGTATTTCTTTTCCCCTCTGTCTTATTAACTAAGAGTACTTAAGATTATCTATTGGATTTAATGACCTCCATTAATATCTGTAACTTTAACGAAAAAAATACTATATAAATTAGGTCAGAGTGAGTATACATAAGCCAAGATACTATCAAATAATTATCTAAATCATTTTTTTACCAAAAAAATTATTTATAGATTTTGCATAAACATTTAATTCCAAAATTTTCGGAAACAAGTTTAGAGAGAAATATATCTAACTTTCAATCTCTAATTCCGTATGCAATGGGAACTGTACTGATTACAGCAAATTGATTATTTGCCAATTCATTTCCTCGAAATTTGTGCCTTTTCAAAGATTACTTCCTACGAACAAGAAATCGTATAGATTTTGTTTTTGTATATATAGTGTCTTCTTCCTCCATGAGATGAAGATTAAGTTGTCAGAAATTATTCCTCTATTTCCTTAAACTGAAATGTGGAGCTTACATTTCTATGGACTAAGAAGACATGAAAAAGGGTTGGCTGTACAAAAATCTGAACCTACCAAGACAGTGATAAAATATATTCTTCCTCTCTTCCTTTAGTCCCATTTTCCCAACAAATTGACTGAAATTTAACGAATCATCAGGAATTGAAATATTTTTATCACACAAGCTTATAAGTTAAAACCAACAACTTTTCAATAATTTAAATTTGCTACCTCCTGATGGAAGTTACATAGAAGAAAGGATTAATTGAGCCTGTGATGATGAAAGTAAGTTTCTTGTAGTGGTTATAATAAAAAAAGTTCTGAACTATACTCAGATGTTCGATGGATTTAATTACTGCTTATTCTTGTGATGGACCACCTCAAACAGTAATCATGTATACCTACACACTTCAAAGAAAATTAAACGTGTCACAAATTAATTAGTCCTTCATAGTACCAACCAACCAACCAACCAGCATAGAGTGGTCCATGAATCACCTGATTTTAATGCTTAGCTCTCTTTAATTAGTCTTTGTCTCCCTCTCCGCCTCCCACCCCAACACTTTCATATCTATTTTTCAGGTGCGTGAATGCATGGTTCAGATAGTCAACAGGATGGCCTCTTAATTAATAATCTCACTTTCAAGTTCTAGTTTTTGACATTCTCAGAGATTTCTGCTTCAAATTGATCAAATTAACAAACTGAAATAGAGCTTTTCTCAGAGGACAAAAAGGGAGGGATGTATACAAGAAATTAACATGTGATTGTTTCTTTTCCCATTTAGTACTGGACTTATAATATATCTCAGATTTTCCGTCCTACTTAAGGAATCATTATTTGAATCCAAAAATCACTGATCAGTGGACAATATCCAAAAAGCCAAAGGAAAAAATGAAGAATATGATAAAACTTTAACAAATGCCAAGACCACTTTCTCAACTTGTATGCACATCAAATGAAAAGGACTATGTATATGTAATCTATAAGATATAGGAACTTCCAAAGAATAAAACAACATGCCTTAGATTCAAAACCCTAATAATAGATTCTGATAGCAACCCTTCTTTATGCAAGTCAAGTCCCCCAGAGGGGTGCATAGCTATAATTTCTTAACACCCAGCAGGAGTCATTGAAACTATATATTGTGGACCAGACCATACATACATGACCAGATAGATATCTTTAACTACGCAATGTGTGTTTTCCAACTATGCTTGTCTTGGTATCTTTTTAGTATAAACTTGCCATCTTTCACTCTTAGGGCAACCTTTAATTCTCAAAGATGTCTTCAGTACATTTGATTGCCTTCCCTTGTGGGTAAAGTTATTTAGCCATTGATTTATCACTTTTTTTTTTATATATGCATTTGTTTGTTATGTTTGTATATTAATCGAAATTTTTTTGCCACTTGCTGCTACACTAGCCCTAGGGCAAAGGACCTAGAGCCTGATGAAAGTGGTAGAGGAGGATTAGTAATACTAATTAATATAAAGGCAAAGTCATTCTCATTTATATCTTCCCCTCTTGATCCTACCCTTTCAAGTGCCAACTAAACCAGACCACACACAGTTGGAAATACCCAATTAAGTCACTTCTTCCACTCACCACACCTTATTTTTTTATATCTATATATAGTCACGAGACCCACTGTCAATTTCTTTTTGTTATATATTAAAGTCTTTCTCTAAGCTAGTTTCTCTGGACTATCTTAAGAGGTAAACTGCTTATTATTACATTAATTTAATATATACATTTAGAATTTTGCAAGTATAGTAAAATTGAACCCAATTGTTAGAGAGACATCTTTTTACCAATTCAGCTAAATTAAATGTCCCTTAGCTCATTCAATTACATGTGTTTGTGTGGGGTGAGGGAAAGAGAAAGAATAACCGTGGCAGAGGAACTGATAGAGAACTTTCAAAGCTCTTTTTCTTCCACCGTCACTCAACTAGCCTATATATTGCAGTCTCAAACTGAAAGTCTTATAAGTTCACAAAAAAGCTTTAGTGTTGTATGTGTCTTAGCTTCCCCCATCTTAACGAGTGCTTGCCTCCTACATTTTCTTATTTGTCTCCCTCTGTGCCGGAACCATGTAGGTCTTCCCTCACTACACACCATCATAGACCTGCTTCTTTTTACCTTATCTTCTCCTCTTTCTGCTCTTCAAACTCTTTAACCCTCCAATAACCTTTCAACTTTGTTTGTTTAACTGTTGCTTCGCAGGAGACCAGAAGAGAACCCATTAGACCTCAACAATTTGCCTGATGACTACCATAGAGATGGCAAACAAGTCTTCGAAGATATCTCGTCCGGTAAAGTTTTCTGTTAGTGATCTCATATCCTGTTTGATGATGAATAAAAGCATGAAACTCATCTCACTTTCCAAATCCAACTTTGATTTGTTTCGTTTCACTGTATACCACAATCCAAACGATATGCCATTACAGAGTGCAATATTCTATCATTTTAAGCTCTTTTTTCTTCCTTCCAAAGGAAAAGAAAAGGCAAGGTCTAGCGATTTATGTATTTCTTTAAATTTTAGGCGTGAGTGTTTACTGTCCATGATTTGGGTAAGCGTGAGTAGGTTTTAAAGGAAAGAAGGCGGTGATGGAAGTTTGCTTTGTTTGTTGATAAGGTGTGTTTGGTTGGAGCTGCAGGTTGCAGGAAAAAGAAAAGCGGCGGGAAAGATGGAAAAGAAGAGTGTGGTAAGGTCTACGAGTGTAGGTTTTGTTCCCTCAAGTTCTGCAAATCTCAGGCTCTTGGTGGTCACATGAACCGTCACCGCCAAGGCTAGTCTCTCTCTCTCTCTCTCCCCCCCCCCCCGGCTCTTTAAGAAGCTGTGTTGCGAATGTTATATATAGCAGCTAGAGGCACATACACACACAAACACATGTCTGAGTTGTGTGGGCCAAAAAAAGAGGCACCGCTGGATAATGGTTTGGGCTTGAAGCGTAGTCATTTCAAGCACTGAAAGATGAGTGTTGAAATTACGATGCTTTATTATACAATCTTGGTTTGATTTGATTTGATGTTTATGTCTACGTGTATGTTGGATTTGGCTGCAGAAAGGGAAACCGAGACGCTGAACCATGCTCGTCAGCTCGTCTTCCGTAGTGATCACACCATAGCCGCCCAAGGGGCCCCTCACTTAGGGTACAGATTCCATTCTTATTTCTCGTCATTTCTCATCTCCCTTTTCAAACTTCACTTAGATTCTTCTCGTCTTCCAGTGTTCAAGACAATCCCAAAACTAACGAACCAAAAAATTCATGTGTTTGTTTGGTATTTAATTAGGTGTTGCCAACCAGTAGTAGCGGGAAGCTACCATCCAGGTGGAGGGGGAGGCAACATGGGAGACCCAACAATGGGTCTGAGATTTCCAAGGTACTTGCCGGGGTCATCCTCGGCCCCGCCACAGCCGCCACCACAGCCAGCTCAGCCTTACATTTACGCGTCTCCGTCGTCACGACCAATATCATCGTATCCGTCCCACTACAACTCGTCGCACCAAGTGAACGACTACTATGTGGGTCACGTTCTGCACAACTACGTGGGCGATTCATCGAGCTACACCTGTATCGGGGCACCGGTGGGTCAAGGGTTCGTTGCCAAGGACGGGACGCTGCAGAATCAGGAAGAGGGTTTGAATTGGGGAAGGAGCTATTCAGCGATCAATCGGTTTCAAGATGGGTTCTAAAGCAATGAAGAGAGTTTGAACCAAGGATGATAAAGACAAGGGGGGGGGGGAGAGAGAGAGAGAGAGAGACCTAACGAGACAGAGATGGGGTCATATGAGGATGAATTAGGTACAGTAAGTGTAGGACAGCTTTTGAGCTCATGGACTGGGTCAGCTAGTTTGGCTCGGTGCTGTGAGTGTGTTTGTGTGTTGGGTGTGTTTGTGTAGTTTGTACTGCTAACTGTGGGAAAAAGTGGGGGAGACTAGACCTGGTGGGACAACAAGTTACATATCAACTGAAACTTTCCAAACCACCCTTTTTGTTATTTCAGATCCTTTTGCTTCCCAACAACCAAAAGTACTATTCTTCACTATCTATTACTACTATTTAATCTCTCTCTCTCTCTCTCTCTCTCTATCTATCTATCTCTATTTTATTATCCACCTCAGTTCCCTTCTTGTGTTTAATTATTATTTGGCATCATATAATTTCCACTGAACAAAATTGTAGTATATACTATAATCTAGTTTTCTTGAAATGTTTGTCATCCCATTGCGGTCACATGCATAAGCATGTTGTATTTTTTTGAGCAAAAACACCAGTCAATTTTATTAATAACCAAAAAATTATCACACTCACTAATAGACTTAAGGAATCGAAGAAAAAAACTAGAATTAAACCTATATGACCCAAACAAACAAAAATAAGTATGCTATTGAAAACCTTTTTTATGACTAAAAATATATGATGTCTGTAACATTTTCTCTCATTTATAAAGATCATAAGATTCTCACATTCGACCTTTGGAATGCAACTTCTCCAAGTTGCAGGAATTTTTAGTTTCTTTAGTCAATTTGTTTCTTCTAGCTATAGTTGTTAAATTGACATGAATTTTAAGTTCTTAGTGCCTAATTAACCTTAGGGATTGTTCATGAAAGATGATTGATAAACTGAAGTGGTCATGGTTGGGAGAACTATAGTTTCCGAATTCATGAACTGCCACAGTAGTATTTCTTATTAGTTCATATTAGCAACTCAAATAAATGATGCCATCATGACAAATAGAGAGGGACTGAATTGATTAGAACTTTTGGAAGGAAAAAAGTGTAATTTTCTCTGATCTAGTTGATCGTCAAATATGTATGCAGTAATAATCTTTTTAAGAAAGGATTCTGATCTCTTCCTTTTCAACTAATGATGTAATCATCAAGTATATTAAAAAAATAAGAAGATGCTTTACTTGTAGCAGTGAGTGAACACTACAGCAATTCAGTTTCGTTTAATGGCCCATACGGAAGAATAGAAAGTCAAAGAATACCAGAGGGAAAGAATAAACTCAGTCAGTCATCAGCTCGAGAAACAACCAAAACGCGGTCGTTTAATTGCTGGCACATGACTATATTCTTGCTGAAGTAGGTGGGGAAATGAACAACGAATTCCACTCACACTGCATATTCTCTCTTCTGTTTTCAAGAAAAATTTAGACAAGTTTATCCATGCATTGCATATTTTCTATAAATAATATATCCTATTGATTACATTTTTATTGATATTACAACTTACTACTCTCTCCATTAAAAAATATAAAGTATTTTTAACCGAATCTCACCCCTTAATAAAGTAGCTACCTACTTTCAAACTAGCTATATTTTTTTATATTTACCCCTATTAAACACCCTATAATAAATATAAAGTCATTATCAATGGAGGTATTTTTGAAAAAAATAATGATAATTACACCTCGAAAGACTAAAAATGTCTTATATTTTTTAACATCAAACTCTTCAAAATATGCCTTACATTTTTGAATAGAGGGAGTATAATTTTTTATATGTATTGATATCAATGAAGTTTAAGAATTCAAATACATGTTAGTTGTCTTTAGTATATTTTCAAAGATACTAATATGGTATTTTAATTCAAATATTAACAAGCAACTATAACAACACCTTTATGATGCATGAGAAATCAGGCTATGGCTTTAAGAAAACATAAAGAGTAATTTTAAAAAGAATCAAAATTACAATTTCTCTCTTTGATTTCTAAGATCACTGTAAAGACTGAGAAGATCTCAGTGCATAAATCCAAGAGTGAATTATATATATATATATATATATATTGAAAATTAATTTTTGAATTTTCAAAATATATAAACACCTCCCCTAAAAAAGCAATCGCACACACTTTGCTATAACGGTTAATTAGATAAAATAAAGGGTATTTCAGTCAAAAGAAAAATTAAAATAAAATGTAAGATAATGTTGTTAAACAAAAAAATTGGCATGTTTTACAAATAGATGAAAAGAATGTATAATTTTAATAAAACTCAAAATATGTGTTTGTAATTTTATCTAAATCTGAAGAACAACTTGTACATTTACAAATCCGTACAACAAATAGTTTTCACTTTTCACATCTGGGAAAATTTTTCACTGTACAGGAAAAAAAAAGTGCTTCCTGATCGCTCTCGCAAGTGTACAAGATCACAGTAATAAATTACCCGAAGTATTTCAGGTGTCGAACCCACAGGGAAGTTACACTTTTACTAATTTAAATAATTAATAGTTCGAGAAAAATAGATAAAATGGATAATTTTGATAAAAATATAAGGAATAAAAATAAATCAAGAAAATAATGATGATAAAAATGCAATCACTTGAAGCGTTGGGATTTAGGATTCACCCTATAGGTTGCTAGTTTTTAGCCTTTGAGTTGACTCGGATCAATTATAGTGGTAACTATTCCTAAAATGTCCTAATATTCTCCCGAATTATTAGTCCCTTTTTAATTAGTGTTGAATTCATTCCCACGATACCCAAATAACTAATTAAACCCTGAAGCTATAGTTTAAATCACCATAAATTTCTAGAACTATCCCTAGCCTAGTTATTTATGTTTATTTCTCTAGATCTAGGTTCTCTCTTCACCTCCCAGTCCATCAAGATTACCCATAGATTTGATTAAATGGTGGCCAGTCATTAAATTAATATGAAGAACAAGAGAAATAAATATAATTGGGAAAAAGCAAAAATATTCATAAATATAAATGCAAAAAGTCAAAATAAAAGAAATAAAAAACTAGCTTCTCAATTGGGCTACATCCTTATCCCAACTGGGTAATTTAGAAACACATAATAAAATTAAATAAAACTGTTCTAAAATCCCCAATCATGAAAAATGATCACAGAGAAAATTAAGGAGTAGAAGAGAAATAATTATAATTTATGAAACTCCTTAATGATCTCGCTTTCAGCTTTCAGAATGCTTCTATGAGCTCCAAATATCTCAGAGAGAATTCTTGAGATACTCAAATAAGTGATTCAATGCCTTCCCTCTTGGTGGAGGGAGTATTTATAGTTAAAGTGGTGGTTCCTTCTTTTTTTCCTTGTCGATGTGGGACTTTGATATATATATGTATATATATATATATATATATATTTCTCTTTTCCTTCTTTCCTTATATTTGGTTTATTCTTTTTCTCTACAAAATATAAAGATAAAAAGATATAGATAAAAAGATATGAGTGGATTTTGTATTAAAATTCCTTTTTATCTTATAATTAAGTGATGAGAGAAAAATATATAAATATCAATTAAATATATATGAAATCTTAATAAATATAATCAAATTCAAACTAAAATCTATACCCATTAATTATAAGATATGCATTTATCACTTACAACTTGTTTTCGTTCATTCGCCAACACTAAACAGCGCATGGATTTCAAATTCTCCGAAGAATTTTTAAAATTTGTGGGGACTAATAATCTATAATATTAATAATCCTAACTAATATTGATTAAAATCACCTCAAGAGGTGCGAAATATTTCCTTGGATGCTTTTTCAAGTCGATTTGATATCCTTTCGCCCTGAAATTCTGGCTCTCTAATTTGCAACGTTGGTTTTAAATTGAAATTAGTTAATGCTCAGTCCCTTAAATTAAATGATGTGCGCGTGTCTGTGTCCATATGCTATACTTGTGCTGTGTTTGGAATGTGTTTATGCTATATAAGAGTTTCTTTCTCCCTTCAAAAGATAAGAGAGCACGCTTTCATATATTAAGTACAAAAAAATACTAATTATATACAGACAAAAAAGAAAAGTTGAATTCTTCCTAATTTTGATGAAAAGTAGACCGGTTTGAGCAAATTAACTGCACTATCAGTTGTGTATGAAAACAAGAAGCAACAGGCTAATTCTCCCATTTCTTTTTTAATCACAGTTCGATTGTTTTGGGGGAAAAAAATAAAGACTTCGTTTTGGGTGTTAGGAGAAAGGTTTCACTGGGCAATACCAGAACATTCTGAAGAACAAAAACATAATTTAATCTTAGATTGGCAAGAGACCAATAACATCTGCTGAGTTATATATTTTGGTTTCGAAACTAATTACATGTTTGGAATTTGACCAGGAAGTTGTGGTCTAATCCCAGAAAACTTGGAAATGTTTGGCTTTTGCGTGAGCAGCTTATTAAAGTCTGGTTTACATGTCACGAAAGGAAAAAAATTTATGATGATGATTCAGTACAATTGTTGAGGTCAGTTCTACAAGAGTGAAAGCAAGTAATTAATTAATCGCACTGATCATATATATATATATATATATATATTTGTTGTTGTGAATGTGAGTCCTTTAAAGCATTGGTCTAACCTGTATACCAAAGGGTTTCTCTTTTATAAATATATCAAAAACCCAAGAAAGGCACCTGCATTAGACCAGCATAAAAACAATGACCCCACAAATGGTTTAGTTACTCTCTCTATCTCTAGGCATCTTATAGCCAGTCTGAAGTACTCTTGATTCTTTAATGTCTCTCTCGGGATCAGGAAGATGAGAGAGAGAGAGAGAGAGAGAGAGAGATGATGGTAGATCTTTGGGAAGCATAGGGCCAGAACTACACTAAAAAAGTGGCATGTTAGACTGATGCATACATGCTGAGCAAGAATAAGAAAGAGAGTATATATAACAGCCTCATGATATATCACAACGGATAAAGAATAATGACCCTGCATTCAACACCTCCTTACATAAGTGAGAGAACGTTTAAAGCTGCTAATAAATGGCTTTATGTATTGTACTGTGCTTTTGGCATTTCAATTAATTCTCCCCTTTCTTTTCTTCTTTAAAAAGAAAGAGGACCTATTCCCTATTTTCATAGTTCCTTACCTATCTATCCGGATTTGAAAAATACTAAAACCAAGAACCATAACTCTATTTTTGGTCTTTCAGAACATGACGAGTATCAATATCAGCTTCTCCAAATAATTTCTGGCTCCCTTTATTGCTCAAAATATTTTAGCATGTTTAAGCAGTATTTCTGTACTACAATTC